TTATATACTTAACCCAAATTGAAGTTAGGACTTCTGTAGACCTTCCACATACGGTTTGAAAATAAAATGAACCTGTGGCTGGCGCCGCGGTTCACTAGGCTAATCCTCCGCCTGCGGCGCTGGCACCCCGGGTTCTAGTCCTGGTTGGGGCGCTGTGTTCTGTCCCAGTTGCTCCTCTTCCAGTCCAGCTCTCTGCTGTGGCCCAGGAAGGCAGCAGAGGTTGGCCCAAGTCCTTGGGCCCTGCACCCATGGGAGACCAGGAGGAAGCATCTGGCTCCTGGCTTCAGATCAGTGCAGCGCCAGCAGTGGCAGCCATCTGGGGGGTGAACCAACGGCAAAGGAAGACCTTTCTCTCTGTCTCTCTCACTGTCCACTCTGCCTGTCAAAAAAAAAAAAAAAAAAAAAGAGGGAGCAGCAATTCTGCCAACCACTCTTCCACACCCTTCCCTCTCTTGGACACTTCCAATCTCTCCTTCCTTCCTCACCCTGGCTGATGCTTCATTTCCACGAAGAAAATAGATGTCGTAGAAGAACATCCCCCAGACTCTACCAGCCTATCTGCACCTTCTGTCCTTCTCAGTGAACTCTAGGTCAAGAGCCAGTCCATTTTCTGTGGCTATCACAAAATCTCTGTGGCTGGTCCAATCAGCATGGTGCTGGCCTCTTGACAAGGGCCCCCTGGCTATGTCACAACATGGCAGATGGCATCATGGCGAGGAGCACATGCAGTTGTGAGAGATCACCAGGTTAGACAGGAAGCCAGGGGCCAGGTTCACCCTTTTTTAAGCAGCCTGCTCTTGTATAGGGCAGCACCCCAATGGCCTAGGCCCACCTAGGAAGGCCCACCTCTACACTGCCTCACTGGGGACCAAGCTCCCAGCCCACAAACCCTCAGGAGAGATGGTTCAACCCTACCCAAACCATAGCATCCTCTTTCCACTGCATCAGTTTTCTGCTCAACACCTTTCCTTATTATTCCAATTAGCACACAACGCTACAATTTTTTTTTAAATTCCACAATTTTTTTAAAGTCCTTCCTTTGAACCCAAAACCTCCTCCCCCTGTTTACTCCAAAACCCATGGAAGAGCTGTTTTACCCACTGTCTCTAATTAATCTCTTCCCATTCTCTCAAATCCACTTCAGTAAGGTTTCCCTCCCCACCACTCAAGAGAAATAGCTTTTTTCAAGGTAACTAAATGACCACCATATTCCCAATGGTTGATTTTTCAATTTTAACCTCATTGAAACATCAGCAGCATTTAACACAGTAGGAAGATCTCGAAAAGTTTTCTTACTTGTTTCTTGGGCCCCCACGCTCTCCCTTCCCACTCTCCCCCCCACCCTGATTTTCCTAACTCATTGATGTTCCTTCCCAGGCTCCTCTGGGTCCCCCTTATCTCTCTGACATGGAACACCCAAAGCTCAGTCTGCAGCCTCTTTGTTTTTTCAGCCCATGCTCCGTCATCCTGGTCCATGACTTGAGAGCCATCTATTTGCTTGGACAGTCTCCAGCCCAGACTCTCACACCTACCTCCCTGCTAAACCATTCTTGTTGAAAACCAAACACTTGAATACTCACTGCCTCACTCCCAGAACTGCCTCTTCTCCACCCTTCCTCATCTCTCTCTCTCTCTCTCTCTGATCCTGTTGTTCTTTCCTTCGACAGGCAGAGTGGACAGTGAGAGAGAGGTCTTCCTTTGCCGTTGGTTCACCCTCCAATGGCCGCCGTGGCCGGCGCGCTGCGGCCGGCGCACCGCGCTGATCCGATGGCAGGAGCCAGGAGCCAGGTGTTTTTCCTGGTCTCCCATGGGGTACAGGGCCCAAGCACCTGGGCCATCCTCCACTGCACTCCCTGACCACAGCAGAGAGCTGGCCTGGAAGAGGGGCAACCGGGACAGAATCCGGCGCCCCGACTGGGACTAGAACCTGGTGTGCCGGCCCCGCTAGGCGGAGGATTAGCCTAGTGAGCCGCGGCACCGGCCCGGATGCCTCTCTTCTTCCTCGGAGCGATTGGTGACTCCTTTCTCTTCTGCTCAAACTCTATAGCAAGTCCATAAGCAAACTGTGCTGGGCTTTTCTCACACCCCTTCCACTCCGGTGGCAGTGAAAGCCATCTTCATCTCTCACATGGATAACTGCCATGACCCCCTAACTGGCCTCCCTGTCTCCACCAATCCCTCCACTCGCCCATCACATGCAAACATCCCAGCTAGATGAAGGTGCTAGAAATACACTACAGCTCCTACTTGAAAAGCTGTAAAACTTCCCTTCTCCTCTAAAGTAGGGACCTCCAATCCCAAGTGAGGCTTGCAGGGCACTGACTCCACCTGGCCTCTCTCTCTCCTCTCTGGCCTCATCTCCTTCCACTTGGCCTCACCACCCTGTTCCCACACTGGTCTTGAAGTTCACTCTGCCCAAGATTGTCCCCTGGTGCCACCACTGCTCACTCCCTTCCTTCCCTAAATGTCCACTGGGATGTCCTTTCATCACCCAGGCCTGCCCTCAGCATAGCTGTGCCCACTCAGCATTCCCGACACCCTGCAGACTCCACACCCTTCCTTATTCCGCTGCTGACAGGTTGTCTTGTTAAGGTCTGTCTCCTTCTCTACCAAATGTGAGTTCTTGCTTCAATCCTCCTTGTCTTCCCAGTTCCTAGAGCAGTACTTGGTGCAGAGTTCACGCTTTTAGAAGTTCTGTTCAATGAATGGCTGGACCACAGTAAAAGGCAGTTTGCCAATGTGTGGTAGAGGTGGCCCAACAGTTCCATTTCTGGGACACAAAGGGGGTCGGTGTCTGGCATAGTGGTTAAGACCCTGCTTGGGATGCCCACATTCCTTATATCGGAGTGCCTGGATTCAAGTTCCAGCTCCCAATTCCAGCTCCCCGCTAGTGCACACCCTGGGAGGCAGCAGGGAAAGGTTTAGGTGGTCCTCATGTGGAGGAGTGGCATTGAGCTCCTGGCTCCTGGCTCCTGGCTCCTGGCTCCCGGCTCCAGCCTGGCCCAGGCCCAGCTGTCAGAGGCATCTGGGGAGTGAAGCAGGGGATGGAAGACCTCTCTCTCTCTCTCTCTCTCTTTCTCCCTCTCGCTCTCTCTCCCTCCCTCCCTCCCTCCCTCCCTCTCTATAAAAATACATAAATTAATTAAATAACTGAATTTTAAAAAGAAAATACATACAAAGATATCCACAGCTATTTAGGTGTAATTGAATGAAATATGAAACATATCAAGTGTCCATCAGTTGAGGTATGGATAAATCATGGCATATTCATACAAAGAAATACTATAAAGACTTTGAAATGAATGTCCCAGAACCACAAATGTGGACATGGATGATTGTTAAACCTGCATGGGAGACCAGGAGGAAGCACCTGGCTCCTGGCTTCAGATCGGTGCAGCGCGCCAGCCATAGCGGCCATTTGGGGGATGAACCAATGGAAAGGGAGACCTTTCTCTCTGTCTCTCTCTCTCTCTCTCTCTCACTGTCTAACTCTGCCTGTCAAAAAAAAAAAAAAAAAAAAAAAAAAAAAAAAAAAAAAACAACAACAACAACAACAAAAAAAAACCAAAAAAAACACCAAAAAAACAAAACCATAATGTTGAATAAACAAGTGTACGGAATGTCATTTATAAAATTTGAAAACATTGAAAAACAACCCCAGGTAGGTTTACAGGTGAGGATCTGTGCAGAAAACATGAAGAATCATGGGAGGGGAATATTTCACAGCAACCTCAGGACAATAGCTACCTGCAGGGAAGGTGACACGTGCGAGCGACAGGGCTCCAGACTTACCTGTAGCATTTTTTTCTTTTAAAAGAAGGCTCTAAAATACAAGCAAAAGAAAAAAATGTTAAATCTAGGTGTCGTTCTAGTACTTTTTACCAAGAATAAATAACTGCTAAGTATTTTTTTTATTCTCCACTTTTCTATTTATTTAAAAAACTCCAGGATCATTTAAATAGATTTTAAAAGCTTAAGTTGCATGGAAACCACATGTCTGAAGTAAAAACCTGCTAGGCCTGGAAGCAGTTCCATTTCAGCACAAGGACATGATTTGTAACCGGCACAAACAAAACAAAACAGCAAAAAAGCCCTTTGTTGTTAGGACTGCTTGGTTGCTACTGCTTATTGGGTAGGTGTGATTTGGGCCAAAAGATAAAAGGAATCAATCCCTTTAAACGGGGGATGTCTTATTAGGCTGCTGCCATTTGGCAGGGCAGAGACAGGAGATGTGGCCAAGATGCTTGCTGTCTGTCTGCAGGCAGGTACAGAAGCCCCAAGCAGGGCTGTTGTTACTGATGGCACACCCAACACACCTGTTACCCCTGGACCACAGCCTGCTCACACGCACAGAACCGGAAGGCATGATACAGAGGGCTGCGCTCTATCTTAGAGGTGGAAAACTGAGCCCCAGAAGCCAAATGTTAGCATTCTAAACCCTGGCATAACTCAAAAAGGTTGCTAGCCATGTGGAGCAATTTCCACCCACACTCACACCAAGTAATCTTCCGGATTTTCTGTGAATAGACAACAAATATTGATTGGCTTCATTTTTGAAGTTTAATATGGAAAAGATAATGAAGGAATTGGAAATGATCAGTAAGAAGATGATTGAACACACTTGATATGGACTTACTACAAAGTATAACACGGGGGCCGGCACTGTGGCATTAGGGTTTAAACTGCTGACTGCCATGACAGCATCCCATGTGGGCGCCACTTTGAGACCCGGCTGCTCCACTTCTGACTCAGCTCCCTGCTAATGCACCTGGGGAGGCAGAGGGAATATGGCCACTGCCAGCCATGTGGGAGGCAGGTGGAGTTCTGGGCTCCTGGCTTTGACCTCGACTGTTGCAGCCACTTGGGGAGTGAACCAGCAGATGGCAGATCTCTTTTTCTCTCTGTCTGCCTCTCACTCTTAACTCTACCTTTCAAATAAAAAAGAGAGAGAGAGAGAGAGATCTTCCATCCACTGGTTCACTCCACAAATGGCAAGCTTAACCCATTATGCCACGGTGTTGGCCCCAATAAAGAAATCTTTAAAGTATATACATATATATTATATATATATATAATTTAGGTCTTAGAAGAGTGGCTTTGATATGTATTCACCAAGGAAGATGGAATATAAGGAGGGGAAAATGCACAAAAATATGTCAATATCTGGCCATTTCTATTAAAAGCAGCCCAAAGTCTGTGTGTGTGTGTGTGTGTGTGTGTGTTAATCCAAGGTTAGAAAAGCCACAGTAGAATCCACCTACTATTTAAATATGGTAGTGCTATTGGAGGGGAGAGAGCAAAGCCATACTTCTTTTAAATATTCTGATTGGTGATTTTTTTGAAAGGAGAGCGTGCGGTTGGGGAGAAAGAGGAGAACCAGGCCGTGGGCAGGTCCCCTGGAAGCACTTCCCCCGACTCTCCCGAAGCGCACGCACTGACAGGAATGGCTCACACACACGCGCGCATTCCCACCGAGCACTGAGTCACAGAAGGAAAGCACACGGGTTCCTTCCATGCCAACAAAAACTTTCAGCGGCTGCAGCATGTGACGGCTCCAAGTCCCGGTGCTTTCTCCGCCAGCCACTTACTGCGGGTCACTCAGCTCGCTCCGGCGCCGGTCCCGGTCCATGCACTTGCCCGGCGGGTGGTTTACCGAGGCTGCACTCGCAGACGCGGGTGTCCTGCGCCACGGCGAATGCCCGGGGGCTTTGACCCACACTCCGCACCCAGCCCTCTACAGGTGTTCAGTGGCCGTCTGCGTCTGCAGCTCCTGACACTCCCACCGACCAGCTAAGGAGGCAGCGCCGAGGCCACTGGCGCTCGCTGACCTTGCACTTGAACTTGACTCTTCCCCGTGGAGACTGTCGATTTTCTTGACGCTTCCAAAAGAAGAAAAGGCATCGGCGAATCCCGAAACCCGCCTGGGCCGGACTGCACTCACCCCCGGCCGGGCCCAGTGGCGCAGAGCCTGGACAAGCACAGCTGCCCAGCTGGCTGGGAAAGCGCAGCCTGGGGCCCGCCCCGCCGGGACCAGGGGGCGCTGCCCAGGTCAGGACAGGCGGGGCGCCTGGGGGCGGGGCCTCTCGGCAGGACGCGGGGCGGGGCAGGGCTCTCGGGGGCGGGGCCTCTCGGGCCGGGCCCCGGGGGCAGGAGGGGGCGGGGGCTCTAAGGAGGGGGGGGCCTTCTCTGGTTTGGCCCGGGGGGCCAGGCAGGGATCTCGGGGGCGGGGCCGCTGGGTCCCCACTCCGGCCCCGCCCCGCCCCGGCCGCCCTCTGGCCGCGTCCCCGCCAGCCCTGCCGACGTGGCGGGGCGGGACCCGCCGGGCGCTCCCGCGCGCACTCGGCCGCCGGAGCGGTAAGAGCCGGGGCACCCTCTCCCCATCCCCTCCCCGGGGCGGGCGGGGGCAGCCGCAGCGGGGTGGTGGGGAGATCCTGCCGCGGCTCCTGCTTCCAGGCCCCCCGACTCCCTGCCCTGTGCCCCAGCGAGAAGTCCTCGGCACCCTGCGCGCGCCCGGGAGGAGCCGGCGTGGGGGCGAAGGTCCCGGGCGGCGCGGCCGAGGGCCTGCGAGGGTGCGGGCGTGTGAGTGTGTGTGTGTGAGTGTGTGTCGCTCCGGGTCCACGCTCATGCACACACCCACACGCCCGCACGCCGGGTCTGCACCCTCGGCCGCCGAGGACCTCCGCAAAGCATCGGGTGCTGGCACCAAGCAAGTGCAAAAAAGTTTCCCCCGTGCCCCGGGCTGCAGGCTCCCGACAACCGGGGCGCCCCCCTCGTTCCCCCCGCCAGCGCGGCACCTCACCTCCTCCCGAGGCACCACCCGAGGCACAGCTCCCCTCCGCCCCCGCCTGCCCCGTGGGGTCCCACGCCCTGCCCCAGCCCTCTCCAGCCAGTCGCCTCGGCTTCTCGCCTGGAATCTGGTGAGTGTTTCCAGCCATCTCAGATCAGGCGCCTGGAGGTCCCTGCCTGTTCCTGGAGTGGGAGACCCCTGGTCCCCTCAGCGCCCGACCTCAGCACCATGTAGGATACTGACAGGTGGAGCCCCCAAGCCGAGGGGGCTGAGAATGAGACGCCTCAGAGTCTGTGTGCCCCCTCTTCCTGCCCCACCCCAATTCCCATGCTCGCTCTCCCTCTTCCACCAAACCCGAGTCAGCGACGAATCTGATACACTTTGCACATTCTAAGTTTTAAGCAAACTCTAGGGGCAGAATTTCAGGCACAAGTGAGCCAGTGCAGAAGGAATGTGAGGGTGGGAGGGGGCCTTCCTGCATCCTGGGGATTCAGACCATATAAGTAGCCTTTTATTTAGAAGACCGGGGTGTATAGCAGACGTCACTGCTGCTTCATCAATATCAAACACAGCCTGTGTCAGTCAAGACTCAAGGGTCAGAAACCCAAGGAGGTGCTGTTAGCCATGGCCCTGAGGGGGCAGTGACAAAGAAGCGCTCCTTCCAAAGGCAGCGGTAGAAGCCTACAGGGTGCAGCAGTCACAGAACCAGGGGCAGGTAGTTCTGGGGAAGGCGTGGGGGACAGATTAAGGAAGATTCCAGAGTAAGAAGTGACAGCAGGCATTGAGTGAAGGAAGAGCAGTTAGAGGCAGGGCAACCCAGGCGGAGAACCTGGGATGTGCAAAGGCTTGGGGGCTGTGAGGACAGGGCTGGTGAGGCCGGTGTGTGTGTGTGTGTGTGTGTGTGTGTCTGTGTGTCCAGAGTGGTGGCAGACAGACAGGCTGAAGCTGGAGAAAGCAGATGATGGGTGGAGGTGTTTGCGCCTGACGATGTTTAAACCAGGGCAGAAATAGGTGCCATGTGTGTTTCAGAGCAGTGCCTGGCAGACCACAGCGGCCAGTTTGGAGCCTGGGTGCTGCTGCAGCCCCATGAAGAGCCTCTCCCCCAAGGGTTTACCCCCTGGTGCTTCCCTGGCCAACAATTTTTTTTAAACTGGCCAAGGTGAACTTAAACAGGATATCACGTTACCAAGGTTTTTAGTTTGCCAAGTGAAGCCAAAAAAAAATCCACTATCGCCACTCTCATAAAATGAAAGACATTTTAATCCTGAGAAAAAAACACAAAGAATAAACTTGCGAGTTGAAGGCAGCACTTCCTGTTTAATAAATTTAGATATATGGAAAGCTTGGAATCTTGTTCCCATGCTTCTCCATCATTAAGGACGGGTCCCATGCCTGCGGTCGGGGTGTGAGAAGGAAAATCCGATGATGGCGCTCATGGGAATGAGTGAGGTGTTTGCCCACAGGGGCTTGGTGGGACCAGGGCATCCCTCCCACCCCCAGCTGTGGCTCCACACAGCCCCTTGTCCCAGGCACAAAGACTTCCATCCTGCGTTGCTGATGCTGGGCGCTGCACCTGCCCTGTTCCCAGCACACCTGAACAGCCACATCAAAGCCACTTGAAGCGTTCTTCCCACAACGAGGCCAGTCGAGTTCCACTCATCTGTCCTTTATGTGATGTGCTGTTTTGCGTCCCTTTTTTGGTTCCTTCCTTTCTGAAAGACAGCGCCCATATCTTCCGTTTCCCACTCGTCCCGGGAGCCGGGATGTTGTGGCTCCGATACCTTGCATAGCTCTGTGAGCATTGTAGGTGATGAATGAATTTACTCATGAAAAACTAACTGATTCGCAGCCCACAAAGGCTTCTTTATGTGCTGCCCTTCCTGTCCTCCGGGTTCCCTGAAGCAGTCTCCTTGTTCCTGTCAGTGGAGCCTGCCCCAGTGTCACAGTCCCGGGACCTGACGGCTGTGCCCCAGGGAAGGGCAGCCAAGCAGAGAGGGCCGCGGGGCCAGGAGTCACCCTCCTGCTCAGCGGCGTGCTGAGAACACCCCAATGTTTCAGACAAAAGGGCACAGGCTTAAGATGCTCGCCTTTCCCCTGATGACAGCACCCAGAGACATCGATAAAGCTCCATAGGGACAGCAAGCACGAGGCTTTTGTTTTTTTTCATTTTGGTTTAGAGAAAAATGGACCCGTGCCAGTTCACCTGGTTGGATAATTAGATGAGTTTGTAATTAGATAATTGAATTAAATAATCTGTAAATACAGGTTAGAGATACAGTTAGAAGTTGCAATAGGGATGATCTTATGGTGACATTTATTATCATTATTATTAAGATTTATTTACTTACGAGGCATAGTTACAGAGACGGAGAGAGAGGTCTTCCATCTGCTGGTTCACTCCTGAAATGGTTTCAATGGCCAGAGCTGAGCCGATCTGAAGCCAGGAGCTTCTGCCTGGTCTCCCACACAGGTGCAGAGGCTGAAGCACTCAGGCCATCTTCTACTGCTTTCCCAGGCCATCAGCAGGATACTGGATTGGAAGTGGAGCAGCCAGGACATGAACCAGTGCCCATATGGAATGCCAGTGCAACAGGCAGATGCTTAACCTACTATGCCACGGCGCTGATCCCTATTATTATTTTTTAAGATTTATTTATTTATTTATTTTGAAAGTATGGAAAGAAAGGGAGAGAGAGAGTTTACATCCGCTGATTCACTCCCCATGTGGCCACAACAGCCAGCCCTGGGCCAGGCTGAAGCCAGGATCCAGGAGCTTCTTCCAGGTCTCCCACATGGGTGTAGGGGCCCAAGCATTTGGGCCATCTTCTGCCTTCCCTAGGCCATCAGCAGGGAGCTGGATTGGAAGTGGAGCAGCTGGACACTGGGGCCCATATGAGATGCCAGCACCACAGGCTGCGGCTTTACCCTCTGTGCCACAACACAGGTCCCATTCATTATTCAAGCAGATGTAAAAATCCGGTCTTTCTGAAATGTGTAAGTTATGTGTAAATATTTTTATGAATATCAGATCACCACCTGATAGACAATTTGTGGGTGTGGCGGGGGTGGGTGGGTCCTGTTGCTGATTGAAGGCAGAGCAGCTGTAGGGACATTCTGTTGCCACACTTTTTTTTTTTTTTTTTTTTTTTTTTTTACCCTGAGGTAAACCCATCTAAGGCAGCCGGGCCACCTGAGGCAAGGGAGCCTTCTGGGTTTCCTTCCGCCAAGGGCATCCCCGATGGTGAAACTAATACAGTGTTGCCACATGCTGATGGTGTTAGGGACCAGGCTGAATTCGCAGCCTGGTCTTGCAAGGGTGATGTTGATGGGTTCCTGGCTTACTGTTCCCCCGCTGTCTGCTCTTGAGGCAGGACTCGGCTCCTCTTCTCCTGGTTTCAGGCTCCGGGCTTCTCGCCCTGCCCTGGTCGTGGAAGGGCACGGGCACCCGCGGGTTGCTTCCCATTTCACCAGTGAGAAGTGACTTCTCAATTCCGTATGCTCATTAGCATGTCTGATCAGAAAGGACAGTCACGGCAGCCCCACCAGAGGGGGGAGCTCTTGGAAATGCTTTAGAGAGACCCCTGGAGAGTACACAGTTCTGACTAGCACAGCTCGACCTGAGCCAACCTCTCCTGGCCTGTGAGTTGAAACCAACACATGTGTCATGTGACATATGTTCTAGAATGCTTTATGAACTGTGTGACAACACATCTAGGACACAAACATTCACATCAGATGTCCATAATGGTTTGTATTTGCCCATACAAAGTGAATAGTTCGAAGCTTCTTAATAATCCAGATCAATAGTAAGGATTTTACAATCACCCCACAGAAGAAATATCCATTTCAGACAGTGTCTATGACTAGTTACTAATGAAAACCAACGGGAATGAAAGTGATACCAAAGTATGATTTATTCATGGGCTCATTCTCCTAATTGTCATGTTTCTAGGACACAAGTGAGGATAAGGTAAAAAAAAAAAATTATATCTTGAGAGGCAAATACAGAGCTCTCATCCACCTGTTCATTCCCCCAATGCCTGCAATGGCAGAGCCAGGCCGGGGCCAGAACCAGGAACATAGCCCAGCCCTCCCATGTGAGTGGCAGGGTCCCGATCACGTGAACCATCGCCACTGTGTCCCAGGGTGAGCATTAGCAAGAAGCCAGGGCCAGGGCTGGGAATCCAGCCAGGCACTCCAGTATGGGACATGAGCATCTTAAATGCTAGGCTCAGCACCTGCCCTGGGATAGGGTCAGTTAAGACTGAGAAACCCTTAGGCAAGGGCATTCACACAGTGTTCTAGGCCCCCAGACAGCAGACTTTTTCTCTAACAGGACAGCTATATTTTAGGTTTTGTGATCCTGCAGGGTCACAGCTATTCCACTCTGCTGTTGTACTGCTAGAGAAACCATAACAGTATCTAAACAAAAGGGTGTGTCTCTTCCAGTAACAGGTTATTTTCTAAAACAGACAGAGGCATGATTTGGCCAGCAGGCTCTGGTTTGCCACCTCGGCCCTAGGCCAGTCCTGCCCAGGTGTTTTTTTTTGTTGTTGTTTTGTTTTTGTTGTTTTGTTTTTGTTTTTGTTTTTGTTTTTTAAGATTTATTTATTTATTTATTTGACAGGTAGAGTTACATACAGTGAGAGAGACAGAGAGAGAGAGGTCTTCCTTCCGTTGGTTCACTCTCCAAATGGCCACAATGGCCAGAGCTGCGCCGATCCGAAGCCAGGAGCCAGGTGCTTCTTCCTGGTCTCCCATGTGGGTGCAGGGGCCCAAGCACTTGGGTCATCTTCTACTGCTTTCCTAGACCACAGCAGAGAGCTGGATTTGAAGAGGAGCAGTCGGAACTAGAACCGGTGCCCATATGGGATGCCGGCGCCGCAGGCGCTGGCCCGGGTGTTTCACAAAGACTTCATGAGCCTCCCAGCTCTGCACGTGCTCCCCTCCTGGGATATTCCACTCTCTTCCCATGCACCATAGCCACCACCTCTTTTCTGTACAAGGCCTTATGTCGTTCTGTGCTATGTCAGCCAGGCTTTGCCCAAGCTCCCTTGACAGCCCATGGGCCAGCCATGAATACGCTAGACTTAATCTGTCAGCCACAAAGAAGTATGCATTCTCTGCTTCTCCCCTCTGTAGACCTAGCAGGAGTGGCATCACTGACTCCAAGTCTGGCAGGTGGTTTGTCTGAAAAGTGGCATTCGAAGTCCATTAACTGGGAGTTGAAGGAACGAGAGAAGGCGATGTGGAAATGTCATTTGGAACCAGCCGCAGAGGGAGAGCGGAGATCTCCCCACAGATGCTAATACAGCTGCACAGGTGTATTCGTTGCGCTCTCACTATGCACAAGGAAGCACGGCGTTACATGCCATGGAAAACAAAACTAGGAAACCCTCTTCTTCCAAGACTTTACAGTATAATGGGGGGGCAACTGTGATCTAAGGGGATTGTAACTGCCCACAGTGGCAGACACAAAGTGCTCTGAGGGCTCAGAAGAAAACGTGTAGGTATTAAATCTCTTTGGGAAGAACAAGGAGTGGAGGAAGGTTGTTTTCACTGGGTCTTAGATGTGGAAAGAATAAGCATCCGTGACTGTGTCGGGCACTGCACAGATGTACTGTACAGGCAGGTGTACCATACAGGTGTCTCATTCCAGGTTTTAGAAGGGGGGAGTGGGATGTAAGCCTGGTGGGATCAGAGCAGAGAGGTCGCACAGTGCAGCCAAAGCACATGGCCCTGCCTCGGGTCCGAGCAGGAGAGCGATGTGATGAGACGCAGGAGATGCAGGACAGGAGGCAGGGAAGGCTGTGGAAGGGGAGAGCCCAGTGTTGACCTGATGGGTGTGAGCCACACCAAGGGCCTGGCAGTGACAGTGGGAGTAAAAGGAAGGAGGTGGATTCTGAATACAGAGCCCCCGGGATCTGGCGACCGACTGAATGTGAAAGAGGCAGGCGGCGTGGCAGGCAGGGCTCTGATGTGGTTCAGCCTCAAAGTCAGACATGGATTTGAATTTCAGATCTTCTGATTCCTGAGAGTGTGACCTTTGACCCTCCATGTACTCATCTGTAAAATGGAGCTCAAAATCTCAAACCCCTAGGATGTGATAAATTTCAAGAGCCTTGATATAGTGGACACAATGAATGACAGCTATTGATAGTATGTGTTTTTTTTTTTAAATTTTTTGTTTATGTGAAAAGGAGAAGAGAAAGAGAGAGAGAGAGAGAGAGAGAGAGAGAGAGAGACTAAGATCTCCTATCTACTGGTTCACTCCCCCAAGGCTAGGGCAGGCCAGATCCAGGAGCAGGGAACTTAATCCAGGTCTTCCCCATGAGTGACAGGGACACGACTCTTTGGGGTGTCACCTGCTGCCTTGCCAGGTGCACGTAGCCAGAAGCTGAAATGCAGAGCAGGCTGGCACCGTCGCCCAGGCACTGTGACACAGGAGGCAGGCATGGCAAGCGGCAACTGCACCGCTGCACCAAATACCCTCCCCTGATCTTTATTGTTAATTGACACAAGTATTTGTATGTGTTCATGGGACACAATGTGATAATTTGATACTTGTATACAGTGTGTAGTGATCAAATCAGGGTATTCCAGTCTGCGCAGATGTTTTTCATTCCTATGTCTTGGACACCTTCAGACTCTTCTAGTTCATCCGAAATGTATAAGAAATTGTTGTAGACATGGTTATCCACCTGTGCTATGGAACACGAGAATTAAGTTTAAGTCCCCCACCCCACCCCATTTAACTATACCTCCTAGACAGGTGCAGCTTTAGTCAATGACAGATCTGACATGGGAAGCCTGCGTTATTAGGGCAATTGAGGTGCCATTAACAGAAATAAAAAAGTCAAGAAGAAGATCCAGTATTGAGATTAGGACAACAGGTTTCCTTCAGGACAGGAATCAGTGTCCAACTACCAGTCTGGAGGCAGAAGCTGTTTCATTCTGGCATTTTTGAGGAATCATTCATATGCCATGAAGTTCACGTACTAAATATTCACTCTCCTAAAGTGAGTAGGTCACAGCGGGCTTTGGTGTGTTCCCAGACCTGTGCAGCCATTACATTTTTTTTTAAGATTGATTTATTTGTTTGAAAGTCCAAGTTACAGAGAGAGAGAAAGACAGACAGATCTTCCATCCACTGGTTCACTCCCCAAATGGCCACAACAGCCAGGGCTGGGCCAGGCCAAACCCAGGAGCCAGGAGCCAGGATCCAGAAGCTTCTTCCAGGTCTCCCATGTGGGTATAGGGGCCCAAGCACTTGGGCCATCTTTTACTGCTTTCCCAGGCCATAGCAGAGAGCTGGATCGGAAGTGGAGCAACCAGGACTCGAACTGGCGGCCATATAGGATACTGGCATGGTAGATGGTGGCTTTACCCACTGTGCCACAGCGCCAGCCATCAAACCTTAAAACAATCTCATCACTTCCAGGAGAAACCTCAGGCCCATTAGCAGTCACCCCCCAGTCACTCATAAAACTCTGCTTCGTGTTGCTGTGAAAACAGGCAGGTGTTTGCAAGCCAATGTTCACACGTGGCAGGTAAAGCCTGGGGCAGGGATGTGACTCACCAAGAAAGAGGGTGTGGCAGTGGCAGTAGCAAACGGCCGTCCAGCCTTGAGGAGGGTATGAGAGGGGACACGCTTGGACGCCTGTCCCACCTGTGGCTGTATACGAAGTGGCCTCCCACGTACTGTGGGCCATGCAGCAGCCCGCTGGTATACACTGAGGTCAACAAGAGTGCCCACCGGCGCACCTGAGCCTCGGCTCTTGTGTCGTGAGAACACTGTCTTCCATTGAGCCAACACAAGTCGTCGTCTGTCTTCTGTTCTCCGCTCTGCAGTAAGCTAGCCACTAGCCCCATGCGCCTGTGGACTCTGAAATTATTTCACGTGAAATAGAGCTAAAAATGTGCCTCCCCAGGTGCACTAGCCACGTTTCTAGTGTGCAGCAGCCACGAGTCAGGTTAAGAGGATGATTTTAGATACAGACAGTATGTTTAGTTCCCACGTGCCTGGCCCTGCCTGCCACGTAAGAGATCTGTCCAAGTTCGAGCATAGCAAGTACAGGCTCATTCCTAACACATGGTCCTTCGCTCGTGGTCCTGGAGGCCACGTGTCCAAAATCAGTTGCCTTAGGCTAAAGTCAGGGCGCCGGCAGGGTTGGCTCCTCCTGGAGTCTCCCAAGAGGTTTGCTTGCCCTTGTCCCTGTCACGTCTCCTCGCGTCTCCTCCTGTATTGCTTCTTCCTCATTGCGGGCCTCACTCTAACCTCTGCTTCGCTTCTCATACCTGTTCCTCGTTACGGTGGCACCACCCTCTGATAGGGACACCTGTGCTGACATCTGGGACCCACCAGATAAACCAGGTGACTGCCTCATCCCAAGACCCCTAACGTAATCACACCTGCCACGTGCCTTTGCCTTTCCCTCTGCCTTTGCCATGTGAGGTCATGTTCACAGGTGCCGAGGACTAGGACATGACTTTCGTGGGGGGGGGGGGGCACATAGTTGGCCTGCCACAGGGTTCCAGAAAGTGTCTTACTGGCAGAAGAATGCTTACCCCCACACCCTGCTCCCGCCAGATTCAATGTGATTGTTCAGACCTTGAATTAAACCCGAGCCATTGAGATGAAAGGCTGAAGCACCTGTTTGTAATTGTGTTGACAGATACTAAGATGTCTGATGATGCCAGTGACGGCGTAGCCGCTGGAGACCAAGCAGAGGGTACCAAGATGCCCAGCAGTGATTCTTTACCCGAGGACGTCCAAGGGCCCTGTGGTTCGGCTACAAGTTTGACTGCGCCAAGGCCAGCTGACCCTGGAGGGGACGTGAGTGAGAAGGCAGCGGTGCAGGATGCTGAGGCCACAGCCGCTGGGCCCCCGGAGCTGCCCGCAGACGTCAGCGCCGAGGAGCCGCCTCTCAGTGGAGCGGTGCCGGAGGACGCACTTGCTGAGTGCGTTGATTCCGTCAGCCTGGAGGCCGAGCCCGGATCCGAGATCCCCCTGAAGGAACAGACTGACCCGGTAGGAGTGCTGCGTGCGATTCCTCCCAAGTCGGGCTCCGGCCGGTATCTGCTGTCTCTCTCTGTTTCCTGTGGCACACAACACAAATGCGACATTTAGTTTGGCTCCCAGTTCTGGTCCAAGGTCAAGGTTTGCTCCTCCTGGGGGTGGCCTTCTTGCTGGCACAGTCCCGAGCTGTCCCAGGGCCTCATATGGTGGGAGGCAGGGAGAGGCTCCGTTTTTACTTTTATTTTTTTAAATAAGATTTATTTATATATTTATTTGAAAGGCAGAATTACATAGAGAGAAGGTGAGAGAGCCAAAGAATCTTCCCTCCACTGGTTCACTCCCTAAATGGCCACACCGGTCGGATGAGCCAGGAGCCAGGAGCTCCATCCTGCTCTCCCATGCAGGTGCAGGGGCCCAAGCACTTGGGCCATCCTCTGCTGCTTTCCCAGGTGCCTTAGCAAGGAGCTGGATCAGAACTGGAGCAGCCAGGACTGGAACAGGCACTCCTATGGGATGCCAGTGTGGCAGGCAGTGGCTGGACCTGCTCCCGTGCCACAGGGCTGGCCCCCAGACCGGCTTTTCGACCAGAGGATTGAGAGGATCGAACGTCACATGAATCCATAAACCCCTGTATGAAAGGAGGGCCCTGCGTCACCTTTTCCTGTCTCATAACGGGGATTACATTTCAGCAGGACTCTGAGGGCGGACAAGCCCTGTTCAAACGGAAGCACATAGCGTGTGCAGTGCTCACGGCCCAAGTCTGCAGACAGGAACTGGGAGCTCAGAGTTTATTGTGACACTGCCTCTGGGACCAGGAATGTGGTTTTGGTCAGAGCAGACACACCAGAGGAGTTTTTCCTTTTAATATTTGCACTTTTTAAAAAAGATTTATTTTATTTATTTGAAAGAGTTACAGACAGAGACAGGGAGAGAGGTCTTCCATCTGCTGGTTCCCTCCCCAATGGCTGCAACAGCCAGAGCTGCGCCGATCCGAAGCCAGGAGCCAGGAGCTTCTTCCAGGTCTACCATGCGGGTGCAGGGGCCCAAGCACTTGGGCCATCCTCCACTATTTTCCCAGGTGCATTAGCAGAGAGCTGGATCAGAAGTGGAGCAGCTGGGACTCAAACCAGCGCCCACATGGGATGCCGGCACTGCAGGCCAGGGCTTTTACCCACTGTGCCACAACACCGGCCCTCTAATATTTGCACTTTAATCATTGTAATGTTGATAGTAATGACGCCACCACTCATCAGACACACATCCTGTGTGCCAGGTGCTCTGCTGGCCGCTGTGTCCATGATGGGGTTCAACCCACACCGAAGTTCAAGGCCAGACATAATCACCTGCAGTCCAAAGATGAGGCTCAGACATGCCCAGCGTCTGCCCTGGGCTACACAGGCAGAAAAGAGAAGGTGTGGTCATGCCAGATGCAGCCAGTGTTTCTCTAAGGGCACTGAAATCCTCACACAGATTTACAAATCCCTGTGGAGGGCTCTGGCCCTCCCATCACTATTTCCTCGTCACATACCACCTGCCAGCAGACCAGAGGCAGAACCCATTTGGTGTTTTAAGAAATCTATTTGTCAGGGCTGGCACTGTGGCACGGTGGGTGAAGCCGCGCCTGCAGTGCAGGCATCCCATAGGGGCGCCTGTTCAAGTCCTGGCTGCTCCACTTCTGATCCAGCTCTCTGCTGTGGCCTGGGAAAGCAGTGGAAGATGGCCCAAGTACTTGGACCCCTGCACCCATGTGGGAGACCCTGAGGAAGCTCCTGGCTCCTGGCTTCGGATCAGCACAGCTCCAGCCATTGCAGCCATCTGGGGAGTGAACCAGTGGATAGAAGACCTCTCTCTCTTTATCTGCCTCTGCCTCTGTAGCTCTGCCTTTGAAATAAATAAAACAAATCTTAAAAAAAAAAAAAAGAAATCTATGTGTTTATTTTCACTTTATTTGAAAAGCTTACAGAGTGAGACAGACATCTTTCGGCTGCTGCTTCACTCCCCGAATGCCCACAACAGCCAGGGCTGGGCCAGGACAAAGCCAGGAGCCTGAAACTCCAGCCAAGTCTCCCACACGGGTGGCAGGGGACCCAAGGACTTGGCCGTCACCGCTGCCTCCTGGGGTGTGCATTAGCAGGAAGCTGGAGCTAGGGGCAGAGCTGGGACTTGGATCACACTCTCTGGTGTAGGACAGCAAACCCTACTGCCGCCCCGAACACTGGCCTCCAGAACACACGCTCTGCCCTTTGCCTCTGCCTGCACCTGTCTCTCGAGGTAGCGCAGTCGCTCCCACTGGTGCCCGTGCCACCGTGACAGGACCATCCTGGAGGGACCTTCCTGGCCCCTTCTCTGGGCTCGTGGGCACAGAGCGGCAGGGACAGCACAGAAGCAGGGGACGCCGCTGTCCCCGTCCTGTCTGGGTTGAACTGCCGGTCTTTGAGACCGCGGTGCGGAGGAGGCAGCGGGTCTGTTCTCAGCCAGGCCCAGCCCCGCGCATCCTGCAGTGGCTGCCACAGATGACTGCCGCACCGACGGGACGGGAACCCGACAGGGAAGCAGGGCGCCGGGAGCCCATCCCCCAGGTCCCTGGCTCTGCTGCTCTGTGCGCAAAACGGGCGTCCTGTTTCCTCTCTAACATGACCCCGCCCCCCGCCGTGTCCTGCTGCCCCACGGTCTGGGACTCTGCTGGCCAACACGCGGCTCCAGGGCTCTGCTTCCTTTCCTGACTCACAGCACTGCTCTGGGATGGCAGTTTCCCAGGGGGAGGGCGGCAGGACAGTCATTCTGCAGCCCTGCGGTGCGACTCGTCATTTGGCCTGTGAGTTCCAAGAGCTCACAGATCCCCGGTCATTGGACCACAGGTGACCAGCTCTCGCTGGGCGACACAACCCCTAGGGCAGCACGTGACGCCTTCGTACCTGTGTTCATTGTGCGATGTGCAGCTCAGGGTGTGCATACATGTCACCCCAAATGATGATTTCTTCCTGTTGAAAACATTGACAATTCTCTGCTAGCTTTCTAACAAACACGGGCAGGGCATTGTTACTGGAATCATCCTACCTCGCAACAGGACTCCAGGGCTTCAGCCTCCTGTCTGACTATAACTTAGTACCTGCCAATCAACCCTTTCTCCTCCCTCCCCTGCCTTCCCAAGCTTTGTGCACCACGGTCCACTGTCTCCTTCTCTGAGACCCAGTTTGCAGATCCCCCGTAGGGAGTGTGACCGTGCAGTGCTTGTCTGTCCTTGCCTAGGTCATGTCACTCACCATGATGGCTTCCAATGTTTGTGAATGGCACAATTTCACCCCTCCGTATGGCCAAGTGGCATTTCCTGTGTATATGTAGCCTCCGTTCTTTGTCAGTGGACGCTCAGGTTGTCTCCGTCTCCAGGCTGTTGTGAACACTGGGAGCACAGGCATCTCTTTGGCAGGTGGATTTCATTCCCTTTGGATAGATGCCCAGTTTTCCAGCAAGGTTAGCTGAAGGGGCCTGCTTTCTCCAGTGTGTGTTCTCACGGGTTTTGTTAAAGGTCAGGTACTTGTAGCTGTGTGGGTTTGCTTCTGGGCTCTCTGTTCAGTGAGTTCCCTGTCTTCTGATGACTTCTTTGTACACGTCAGCACCTCCTCCTGTGCCTCAAGGTGCTCCTGCTAGCATAGCCTGCAGAATGAGTTAGTGATGGCAGACTCGCCCACCTCCGCCTGCGCGGGGACTTCATCTCTCCCCCGCATCTCAAGGACGGCTTTGCTGGCCGCGGTATTCTCTGCTGCTGTTTCCTTCAGCGTGGTGAAAATCTCATCCCACTCTCTCCCGGCCTGTGAACCTGCAGCCAAGTGGATTGGAACACCGTCTATACTACTTGTTCTCATTATCTTTAACCTTGGGGAGGTTAATAGTCCTGGGGGCAGGCTTGGCTGAGTTGAATCTTCTTGAATATGGTTGATTGTGTCTTTCTTGGGGTTTGGACTGTTTTCTGTTGTTATCTCTTTGAACACCCTTTGGACCTCTTTGTTCTACTCTAGTACCTCTTGGACCCTCGTGACTTGGATGTCTGCTCTTTCAGCGCTGTCCCAAAGTGTCCATAAGCCTTCTCCTCCCTCTTCATTCTCCTTTCTTCTCTAACTTCTTTGTATCCTTTTTTAAAAAGTGTATTTATTTGAAAGTCTGAGTTAGAGAGAGAGAGGGAGAGATGGAGAGAGAGCTTCCACCCACTGGTTCATTCCCCAAATGCACACAACAGCAGGGGTGGGCCAAGACAAACCCAGGAGCCATGAGTTTCTTCTGGGTCTCTCACATGGGTGCAGGGACCCCCACATGGGTGCAGGGACGCCCACATGGGTGCAGGGACCCAAGCATTTGGGTCACTTCTGCTGCTTTCCCAGGCACATTACCACGGAGCTGAATTGGAAGCAGAGCAGCCGAGACTCCAGCCCATATGGGATGCCAGCACTGCTTGGCTCCCTTTGTGACTTCTACAAATTCTAAGCAGTCTAAATTTTCTCTGAGCTTCTGGACACTTCCACTATTTAAACACTAGATGGCGCCCCAAGCCAGGGTCTGCTGCATGTCAGCTGTTGCTGTGATGTCGCTGTTTCAGCAGCAGAGGGCGCCCCATCCCATAATCGTCCCAAATCCATAGTTGCTGATTTCAGAATCAATTGCTAGAGGTTTCGTCTGAGCACCGGTCTGGGGGTAGAGAGACCCTTGAGCTGTATCTGGCGCTGGGGCTCCCTGCGGCTCCCAGGGAAAGGCCTGTGCTGATTGTCCCATCCTACCCGCTGGCAGCTCCGCTGTATGTAGAGGGGAGGGGTGGAGGCTAAGGAGGGTCTAGGATTGGCCTGCAAGTACGGGCCTGGAGGCTCCTGCTGGCCCTGGATTTTACCGTGGTGGACCCAGCACTAAGGTGTGGCCTTAACTGCTTCCCCCTTCCCCAGGTGGGAGGCCTGGAGTTCTGCTTGGATCTCAGGGAGTGGTGACAGCTTTTTAGAAAGAACTAATGCCAGGGCCCAAACTCAAGG